CGAAGATTCTTCACACCTACTTTCACTGTTTATATCTTCGCTAAGTTGCTCTTTGGCACGCAACTGAAGTTGTGTCTGTTAACCCTTTAACTCCCAAGATCTGATTGTCAATTCTTCCCTCTAGCTGCTACTTATTTCTTCGTAAATTAGTTACGATAACTTGATGTTAGATCAGGATGACAACTTCCTCCTGATAAGTATGAGTATTCTCATTACCTGTTTTCTGGATAATGTATGGATATTATTGGGAGGAGATGCATGTTGATCACTTCTGGGAGTTAAAGGGTTAAGAACCTCTCATATAACAGCTAATGGTGGCTAACTTGACTCTGATATTGTGCGATCAAAATGTGTAAACTCTCTTAATCTCCTCTCGTTCCTTATACCTCATTCGAAAATGAGCTGCCCACTGGGTCTTTCTAGAAGGCGAAATTTTCTTCCAACTTGTTTCTTGGCGGCACGTGATCTAAGCTCGTCAAAGTCTGTTTCTTTTCTCAGACTTCATTTTCTGAAATTTCTATACTTGAAGTACGCTAATGAAGGTCATATTCCGCTAGCATAATCAGTGCCTTCACGTGCACTTGATATGCAGGGTTGGATTCAGTCCTTGCAGGAGAATATTAGAACTTGTAAAAAAATTTTGTATGACGCTATCAAGGTGGTATACAATGGGGGAATCCAACCCTCTCATCAATTAGAAACCATTAAAAGGAAATAGGAGATTGCATGTAAGCACGATGATTTTGTCAGACATTTGTCTAAATATCTTTAAAATGTAGAGCCCTTCCTGTCAAAAAAACTTGACCCGACGAAAAGAGCTCAGCGTGTTGAAAGAGAACGAAATAAACCCATTCCTTGTTGATTTTTTTTTTTCAATGAACGCTAGCTACGCATATAAACCGTCAATCATGTGAAAATAGCTACTTCCTATTAAATCGAGTCTTCCCTGTAAGCTTATCATACCTTGCCGGTGACTTTATTGACCCGTCTGGTTTTTTTTTTTCAAGTCTACAATCTTTACCAAGAGCTAAATTCACAGAGAAAGCCTGCCTGCTATTGAATTAAGGTCACAAAACGTGAATAAGATTCCAGCTATTTCCTTTCATATACAGGTAGATCAACTACATAAGGTATGAAAAACAACGATCCTTACGCAAGCAACATGGAAAGAAGATCAGTCAATTCTGTTCTTTTGAGGAGACCTTTTCCTCAACAATGGTACCGAAAACCATTGTAATATTTCGAAGTTCTCTGCAGTCTATCGAGAGATATTGAATATGGAGGCACTATTTTTTCTCAGTTGCGATCAATTTCATATGCATGACACATAATTGAAAACGATCGTCTGGTTATTAGAAACTAACAACTAACAGCTGGCAAATTTGTTTGACTCGCTGATTGTCTAAAAACTAGTAAACCACCCAGGAGCAGGGACTCCTTAGTCGATAGAGGAGTTAGAAACGGCGTTTTTTCATATTCTTACCGAAAGTTTCACCAGAAGAAATGAATGAATCCCGCATTCTGTGCATATTCGTTAACCGGCAATTCGTGGGTAATGAATGAGGAAATATTGAATATGGAGGCACTATTTTTTCTCAGTTGCGATCAATTTCATATGCATGACACATAATTGAAAACGATCGTCTGCTTAATAGAAACTAACAACTAACAGCTGGCAAATTTGTTTGACTCGCTGATTGTCTAAAAACTAGTAAACCACCCAGGAGCAGGGACTCCTTAGTCGATAGAGGAGTTAGAAACGGCGTTTTTTCATATTCTTACCGAAAGTTTCACTAGAAGAAATGAATGATTCCCGCATTCTGTGCATATTCGTTAACCGGCAATTCGTGGGTAATGAAAACCGATCGATACTTAACTACGTCTAGTTTACGTAAAAATGGAGCCCACTGTGTATTCCGATGTAGAAGAAATCAAATGACTGAGTGGAATTTTAACACATCCTTTCAACAGCAGGAGTTTCAATGGTGGGTTCCAGCTCTTCGAAAATCGCGATGAGATTAGAACAAGTCTGTGAAACTAGCTATTCTTTCCTGTTTACAGCTTTCTGATTGCCTAGCCCTGAATCGATGAGATATTTTAGAACTTCAGTAATATGAAGAGATATATATATATGGTGACTTTCGCACAAGCGACAACTTCGCTAATCTGAGCCAGCTGTGGGCATAGGAAAAAGTCTTTATTCGTGTTCAGGCTCGAATTCTATTTGTTAAGGATGCAACCCCTACGTGCAGGTTCCCTGTAAGTCTCCTTAGACATTGATCGAACGCGTAACTCACACACTACGGAAGACACAAGCACAAAACTGGGATAAGCCACGGAGTGCACAAATATAAGATCACTATAGTAAATCTGGCAAAATATTATATTGGTGTTACAGCTCTCACCTTAATGTTTTGGCAAAATAATGAATCTTTCACAGTATGAGATAATCTTTGAATACGTTCGGACGAGGGCAGTCATTAATTAAACGCTGTCAGACATGATATACTTAACTGTAGCCGAAACACAATCCGCGTGTAAAACCTTATAGACCAATTAGATCTATCGTACTTCCGGAAGTATACATAGGAACAGTAGCTTAATAGCTGTCACTCTTACGGATAACTCCAACTAACTTGATTTATGAACCTCGCTAGAATAACTACGACAAAGTTACAGTCATGTTTCTCTATTTGAAGGAGTTAGACATCTAAGCTGTAGTATAATTCTAACAATGTCCTTATCAACCGCTTTCTGATGCGTGCAGTACGTGGGAGGTGGATGTGCGGCTACGAACCTTTCATCCATTTCCATTAGGATTGATTTTCAAATGGAATAATCACATTACCATGTGTCACAGTAGTAGACTGTTATTCAATCAAGGGGTTTATAATCTAGAAGAATAATATTTTTTGTTGACTGAAAAAAAAGTAATAGATACCCAAGGCGCATGTAATCTATGAAACAGTTGATTATCATAAAAAAAAACAAAAAACCGGAGAGCACGAACTTGCACATCATGTAAAACCAGGGGTCTGAAAAAGCTTAAAGGCCAATATAGACAACATATTATCCTCGGATAAAAACTAACGCTTTCTTTTTTGTATTGCAGGTCCTTTAAAAAGGGAATAACTAGCATGCTATTGTGACATTCCTTCCGAGATGTAAACATCTGCTGCCGGTTGACGAAGGGTGGATAACGCTATCAACTGGATAAATCTCTCTCTGCTGGATAGTGATATATCCGTTGGATAGCGTTATCCGCCCTTTGAACGACCGAGCCCTGGGAGAAAAACTACAATGTGCCTTCACAAAATTATGATTAATTTTATGTCACGAGCACTACATATAGATGAGGTATCCGAGACCTTTCGAGAGCTGAAACGCAGAAGCTATTTTTGGATAAGTCGGTACGAAACGTGTTTTCTTAGGTGATTTTCGTCCAAATTGACTTTGGCATATAGGCTCAGGAATGCAATTTTTGTTTCGTTGTCTTTCATTGTGATCAATACACTCTCTATGGCCTATCCTTAACGTATTCTGTCGTCTATTAATGCAATAATTCATACAGAATAGTTACTTTCAACTCGGTATATTCGTTATTTTTTGTGTAAATATTGAACACAATGAGCTTACTCGGATTATCTTAACGTCTCTAAGTATTGAATATAACAGCAGGTACCGGGTTTAAGAATGAATACCGGCCTTGTAAAACAGAACAGGAGGCCCTGCTTTATCGTGCACCTTTTAATGCAATGTACTGCTGGAAATAAGCGAAGAGAATTCGGCAAAATGAGCCCGAGCTTGTTACAAAATAAAAGGGAACTGGAGTAGCTCAACGAAATTGGGCACGCGAGCGTTATTCCTCACAGAACACATTTAAAATTTTCAATAGTTGGCTTGCCAAGAGAACATACGAGAGAACATAGACGCCTATGGCGAATTTAAGGCAAATTTACTCACTTACTCAGCCGCTGAAGCTTTTGAATCTCCAACTGATTCCCCTGTTAAAACGACAGTCAATAACTGGTGTAATCTCTGTCGCGAGTGAGCGTGCAGGCAATGGGTCCCTCTTCATTATGTAATCTTTTTTCATAATAAAATACGTCATATCATCGGCAAAAATAAGTCATCTGAGAGTGCTCGGTAATAGCTATTCACGTGGCCCAAACAGTTAAAATCGCTAAATTCCAGTAGCTTAAGACCGTAAGACCTTAAGTGGTCGATCAAGGTAAGCCTTGCAAAACCCATGGGTAAGCAAAACGACTCTTTTCAAAGGTGCCTATGGGTCATTCCTCTGATTTAGATCCTGTGAGAAACAATGATTGTTTACGGGAAAATAATGGCCCATTTCCAAGGCGAAAGAACCCAAGAATACTTTAAAAGCATGAAATCGCCTAATTTTAACTCATAAATAATTTAAATTATTTAACGAATTAAAATATCTCTGATCAAAAGCGCGACAGTTTCAATCATATCTAGTTTGATCGATTTTCAGGGGGGTTTTAATTAAGTCGTCTTTTCACGTTTAGCTGACCACAAGAGATCAGCTTGTATCCTTTTATCAATTTCCCTCCTGGCTTGAATGCCGCTAATCCAACGCCGGTAACCTCCGGTAGTTCGCCCAATTTCCTTGAAAGCTTGTTGATACAAATTGATAATCTTGGGTAGAAAGAGGCATTGTGTGATTTTATGTGTCTTTCCAAAGGCAAATGACCGGATAATTTAGGGCCGTTTAGCTCGGTCTTAGTTGGTCTGCTTTGCCTTCCATAAACTCCTTTCCTTTCCGTCGACCATGTGTCGAAGCGACCGGGCGCGCTGCAAACGTTACTTTGGATTTTTTAGGGCGAAGAAGGCCTATGGATGTTATGCTGGAAACCCCAGAGGGATGTATAACAACTAATTTTATGCACATCTCTTTTGATAACAATCGTATGGAGCTGCCATATTTGCTTAGCTCGCACCATGTTCCCGCCCAGATCTCACACGGTTAACACTACATGGTCAACTACAGTAAGCGCTGGTCAGCAGCCACTCACCGAGCAATCAATATGGCGGATCCGAGTGGTCATGTGCCAAATAACGAGTTCAGAGAACGTTTGGTGGAAAAAGTTCAATTAAATGTAACGGAAACAGGAAAACTGGCTCAACAACTATTAAAGAGTTCACGATCGCACGAGGTAAACTGTACCACTGAGATTTGGTTCTAGGGTTTTACTGTAGTGATTTTCTTCCTGTATCTACGGTTTTGAGGGGATATATTCTAGACCCAAAGATAGCCGAGTTATTTTGGCAACAATTACAAAATGATGCTTCATTTGGAAAAATGGCTCTGCACAAAGCCTACTTTTAATACTTTTCAAAATGTTAAAAAAAATTAAAAAATACTTATTTCCAGACGCCCATCTTCACCTCCTGTCTTAAAAAAAGAGTGAAAATATTTGACGAAAGACAGCTTTTTCCTAAAATATTAATCATCGAGAGAGATTTTTTTAAATCTTTTTACGAGCGTCAGCTAAAGAAAAAATGGTAAAGTTTCTGCACAGCCCCATACCATTGTAAAACAAATCTGTTTTCCCAATGGAAATGTATTGTTTTTGTCATTGTTTTCTCTGTTCAAGCACTGAATGCATAATGTAGGATGGGCTGTGCGGAAATTTTACCCTACAGAGACTCTGTGGTGAACAACGCTCATTACGAAGTTCATATTTAAGCTCAAAACTTGCCATCTTTCCTCATATATATTAATCATCCTTTAAAGCATGTAGATCTTCTTTTTACGTACTTATGAAAATGATGCTATTCTGTAAACAATATACCTGTGGAGCTCTGTGCCACACTTAGCTAATTTAAATTCATTGCCTATATATTTGTAGATCCTGTCACAGACTACTAAACAATTTGTAAATCAAGAGGGTGCTATTGCAAATTCCCAGGAGGTGAGCAATAAAAAAGGGCAACATGAGTACAATAACTGTTTAACTGTGCATTACTGAATATAATCTGTGAGATCCTGCTCTGGAGTTCACCAGTAAACCAGCTCACTGGCTTCATCTCAGGTTTAAGGACCTGCAAAGTGTTTTTCTTTGTTCTGGGGCAATCAATTTCATAAGTTCCATTGTTTTGATTTCTTTGTTTTCTTTGTTCTCTTTGTTCTCTGTCGAACCTTAAGGATGGGTGGCTTTCTTGTTTGAAGACTCTGCGACAGTAAATGTCTGAAAAAGTTGTTTACATTTTGCAGACAGACTGAATATATGGTGATTTAGCTCCTTTTAAACTTGGTTTGTAAGGTTCAATTTTGTTAAGCACTGTACAAAAGGTCATGATGGTTGATGATGGTTTCAACTATCACGTACACCTGAACACAAACTATTATGCACTATCATCAACTGTCATCGACTGCATCATGTAGTTTGGACATTATTAAATTCAACATGATAGTTGATGATAGGTTTTGCTATTTGGAAGGGCAGATGATTGTGAATGATTGTTATTTGGTTAGGAGTTCTGCTGAAAATGGGTTCAGACTGAAATGGCAAATGAGAAATTGACTAAAACAGCTGTCAAAATTTTTCAGAATGTCTTGTAGTTCATTCTTGTCATTCTCTGGTAGGCTTTAGTATCTTCAAATTTGCAACTCCTTATCTAAATTTCAAATGTCACCGAAATTATTGACCTCAGCATGCGTCATAATTGTTTACAATTACACATCTTATTGCATGATTTTGTGGACTTGTTGGTAAAAGTAAACTGTTAAGTGTATAAGTAATACAATGAAGTGTCATTTTCATTTGCTGCTTCTCTTTTCATAGCTCTTAAAACAATCTGGAAGAATCATAGCAGACATGGAATCACAGTATGTTGTACATTGCATCTCTGAAATTACTGTAGTCACAATGCTGAAAATCTGATCCTCATTATTCTAAAAAGTATCTTAGAACAGCTTTAAATGTATGTGCACATGAACATAGATTGTATAGTGAACTCTGCTATTAAGACATGGACATTTTGACTTGATTTAAAATTCTGCGCAGAATGCTGATTGCATACACAGGGTGGTAGATTACTTTCCCTGCACCAACAGTTTGTGCAGATAACATGCAGGTCCTAACAAATTAAATTGTTGTAAATGTGATAAGGAGTCTGTGATCTAACTGACTGTACCATGGGTGTCTTTTTTTTTCTCAAAGGTTTGCTGACATTCAGCACAGGTGAGGCAGACCAAGTAAAGCTCATTTTCTTCTTAAAACACAAATTTTATAATTGATACTAGTATATACTACATAGATGAATAGTGCGAGGAGACATTGCTGGTGGCTTTTTTTAATGTGTTGAATGTTTCAAAAGTTTTCCTTAATCCAGGATTTTGTTTATTGTAGCTAATGAACATCATTCTATCAACCCTGTCACACCCAGGAGTTATTAGCATCAAATGTCTCCTAACAATGTTAATATCATTTACAGATAATTTCTCCTTACGGTATCACCCTCAAATTACACTTTAAGGTCATGAGAATAAAGGAAATGATTGCCAACTAAAGATGCTCTTGATTCTTAAACGAATAATTCTCCTCGTCAGCACCTTACCAAGCATATAAAGAACAGGATGGAGAATATGCATTCTGATGCTAGCTTATAAAGGGTTAGTAGTCACTCTAAAATTCTGTTTTTGTTACAGGATACAGACAGTGAACAACATTAATGAACACTTGGAACCAATATGGAGGTAATGGCATTTTCCTGAGTACTGACGTCAATTTGGACTCTATTTGGATGAACTCCTTTACACAGATAGCTAAGAAGGCCAAAAAAATTCATATGTAGGGCACTCAGAATTTCTTAGAACTACAAATTTAATGTTTACAGTCTATAGCTGGCAAGAAAAATTTCTTGGAAAGTTGGTAATACTGATTAGGGAATGGCCTCCCTGCATGATGTTGTTTGGTCACTTATCCAACTGCACACCACCAAAAACAGAAAAGAAAAGCCAGAACATTTGTATGTTTGTGGTTATTACTAATAGTTTAATTTAATGATTGTAACAGATCTTTACAAAAATATATTACTAATTGTAGATTATAAACTACTCAACAAGCGTAATTCATAGCTGACACAGTGAATTTGAAGCATACAGATGGAGATCTCTAGTTCTAAGTATTTTTACAGTGTGCTGGACTTCTGATTTTTGCAGGACAGCAATGAATGATAGCATAGGTGTTGCTGGTCATGCTCCTAGTAACACTCTGTGACCACATGAGACTAAATATATAATTACAAATTGTCTTTATTTGCTAACAGAGATCAAAGAACTCTCCAGCTTTTGTACATAATTCTTTGATTTCACCCGGATGACCTGTGCTTTTTTTATACTCAGACATGAAGAATTCTCCTCCTGTTCTTTTACACTCTTCTCTTGCCTCTTCATTTGATAATGAAGAACCCATGAACTATGGTTACATAACTATGTTGGCAGCCCTATCAATTTTTGGTTGAAAGGGTGGGAAGAGAAAGCCTGTGTTTCCTCAATTGGATTTGATAACTACTACCTTTCATTCTTTGTAAAAATCAACTAAGTATGTTTTATGTGCGGTGCTGTCACTCATTATCTAAAGGAAATCTTTGGCTATTTTTTAAATTTGGACTGTTATTACATGCATATCATTCACTATTTACCAGACAGTATTGTGCTCAGGTACTTAACAAAATTGCAATCTTTGATGTACATGTATTATAATTTTGGTGGTGCATAGCAGAAAGCAGGGTTTGCTCAATCAGTATAAGCTGTGCTGATGGACATGTGCAGTGCTCTTATTACACCAAATGAAAGGGCACTTAGTGTTGAGAGTAACATAACACTGTCATTGTGTTTGTTATCCAGGTGAGCCAAGACCACACACTTGATGTGTCCATGGGAAACAACAAGAGGGTATGGTTCAGGTAAGAACTCTTTACACCAGTCCATCATACAGTGACAGTGCCTGTACAATTGATGGATCAGACTTGGAGCCCTCACGGAATTCCTCCATTGACAACTTGCCATCAGCATTCTGTGGAATAGAACACAGCATTTCGACAAAGCAGCACTGAGGAAGAAGTTCATGAGAGAAGAATTCAAGTCCATTATAAAGTATTTGACAGAAATAAGAGTAACTAAGTTATTAATTTAAAAACCAAAGTTAACAAACAGCAATAAATATTGTATTAACATTGTTGGGAGAAATTCTGTTTTGGTCACTCATGGGAGTTCATAGGTTAATCACTGGACTAATTTATATTTCATCTCAAAATTTGTAGGCTGTGTTTACACTTAACTCTTAGTGGAGAAGGAAATAAATAAATTAGAGCAGGCATGATTAAATTTCAAATCCTGAGAATTTGAGTTTATCTATACAATTAACATGTTTACTACAAAAACACATACTTAGACAAATTTATGAAATATTCCTTTCTATGTGTCTTTTTAATGTAATTAAATGTATTTACTGTACATACAGTATCCATTTGATTAAAAATTCTATTCACTCTCTTTTCTGGAGTATCTTCATCCTCTGGTAACTTTACCATGGTGGCCTGTAAAAGAGTAAATTCTTTAAGGTTTTTTTATATACTGAATCAAAATTAGTTGTTAAAATGTCTACACTGGTTGCCAGTATTCCAATCCTCACGGCTAAAACTTGTGTGTTGACCCTTTACCCCTATTGCATCACATTCAGTATGTATATTCTCACTGCTGTTCTTTATAATTTCCTGAGGTGCTGACAAGGAGAATTTGTTTAATAATCTAGAGCTTCTTTAGTAGGTGGTCATTTCTTTTATTCTTGAGACCTTAAGGAAAGATTTGGGGGTGATATTGTGAGAAATTAGAGGCAGGTCACTGTCAGGGGCCAAAGGGTTGACAATGTACAGCTGTAGAGAGAACAAGTTCCCTCACTTACCACCATTTTGTAAATTGAATCCACTATATGAAGCATTTCCTCTTTGGTTATATAACCATCATCATCCAAGTCATACAGCTTAAAAGCCCCTGAAAAAAATTTTTTTTTCATATCTTGGATTAAAAAAATTAATCAATACAAAACCTCTGATAGATATTTGTCTGTCAGACAATGGGCTTATAGACTTAGAATTGATTATTTTAAGTAGTTTTATGAATTATCAATATTTCACTTTTCATCTCCCTCACAATTCCCCACACTTAACAAAAAGGTAAATATGGGCTAGGTATTACTACTGACACAGTTAATAACCTCATATTAGAAAAGTACAAGTCACTTACACTGCAGTTTTTCATCAATACTTCCTCTTGAGGTTACTGACAGAGCACAAATAAACTCTCTAAATTCAATAGTTCCATCCTAAGGTGAAAATAACAAAAATGTCAGCTTTTCACCATGTGAAAATCAAAGATAAGATTCATCTGTATTAACCCATACACTCCTAGGATCTAAATATTTATGAAATGCAATGTTTGTTGTCTATTCTCATGATTTTAGGACTGAAGATGTGGTTTGAAATAAAAAAATATTACTGTTCTGCCAGAAAATGGATTAGTGTTGGAGGAAGAATTAGGGTCAAAAATGATTCTTCAAATTTAAGTTTGACCTCATTGGGATATTAATCTCATGGCAAATCTCCATCATGAGGGAAATCTGGAATTCATACCTATATTATGAATAAAATGCCCTTCTTATTGCTGTCCATGATAATTGTGATACAAATCTAAATGCTCATTCAATCAAATGGTGAAAATCTATTAATAACAACGCAGGGCTAAAATAGTCTGACAACCCTTAATTTTTCAATTGTCTCTTGTCTCTTGATGTCTGTAGATCAATCATTTTTTTTATCCATTGTGAGCACATGAATCATGAAAAAGCACTATAACAGAGATCTTACTTGAATAATTTAGACATGGCTTATGGAAAGAAGGCATACAAATGACACTTCACAATCCATGATGTTTTGAAATGAATGATTTTGTAGGTAGGTTAATCATTTGCCTACCAAGGATTAAGTCTTTGTAAAAGGGGATATAGAATATCTGCTTAGTAATAAGATTTGCATAAATGTAACATTGAAAAATCTATTTTCTTGAAAAATTGCATCATACCAAGGTTTATCAATTATTGAAAAGTAGGAGAAAAACTTAAAAATTTTAAAAATTTTGCTCCTCACCTGTATTTAAAAATGTTTTGGCAATCTTCCTAAAATACTTTTGCTTATTTTTCACTCTTTGTGTTGTCATTGTGGATGGTACCTTTTCTTTTTCCATAAAGAAGACAAGCACTAAATTTAACCACAACAATATTTATCTCCAGGGGTTTGTCACTTAACATGGAACACATTTTCTAGTTATTGATATAATGCACATTCGTGTGGCACAGTGTTTTCGGTAACAATCCAAATTTTAAGAATTTTTAAAGTTCTAAAAATACAAAGGTTTGATTTCTCAGTTATTAATTTTCGTCCGACGATTTTTAAGGTAGTGTCTGTCTGACATCACAGGCAGAGGACTTAATATCTTTTGCAACAATCAAAACACGAAGTTGCGGTCTATTTCGGTGTAGCGATCGCAAAATAAAAGTAATACTAAGCCTTAAACTTTGAATTCTGAGTTTCATGCCTGTGATTTTTTTCTCGCTCAATATGGAGAGTGCGTTTATGATTTTAGAATAAAGACTAAAATCATTTCTCAAGGATAAATAATGAAGGTCGAAGTGACGATCGACTAATTTAAGAGACAAAAACTAAGTACTGTACATTCTTTAAATAAAATATTATAAATTCAAGATTATGGTGCGTTTTCATAAACTTTCTCCTTATAGCAAAACCATTCTTCCGTGACCACTAATCCTTCACGATACTCGAAAAATCATTGAGCTACTTCGTATGTATACTGTGAAAGCAACTGGCGATAAAGGAAACCATTCACGCTTGAATTCTCAACGGTAATTAGTCATGTCGAGTCTTCGAACACGCTCTAGGGACACTTTTCCACTGGTGTCAATGGTAGCATGGAAAATTTAAATGAGACAGAAAAAAGTTATTGTTTATAATTACGAATTTCGGCAGGGAATGTTGTGAATTGAAATACGTAATAAGACCGATTTATCTGCAATTATAATGAGAATAAACAGTCTGATTTCGTGCGATACTAAAGCCACCGGTTCCACGTCGCGATAAAAAGGAACTTCCTCCCAGTTTCCATACCACAATACATCTTAGTTCACCAAAAGGTTGTAAAATTAGCTTCAATCTCTGATCGGTATTCGCTAGAATTGTTTGGAATATAATTAAACAAATTAGTTTCATTCATGAAATTTATACAAGATGTTTTACAACACATGCTGTTCTCTGAAAAAACAAGATATCAATTGTCAACACAGCATGTTTCGATGGCTTAACTTCGCCACGTTTGTAGAAAAATAAAATCCAGATATTTTACGAAACTTTTGACTAACAAGTCCAGGAGATTTTTTCGAGGGAAATTCATGTTCAGTCAATATATTTACCTTATTTTCGTCGAATACGTTGAAAACAAAAGAGGCAAACTTGGATGGATCGCCAAACGGAAAGAACTGTTTATAAATCTTCTGGAACTCCTGAGAATAGAAGAGACAAGAGCAATTTCCTTGCAACCTTTTTAACAAGTTTCAAATTATTTTTCAAAATCGCCTCTAATAGTCTTCAGAGCGCTATGTTACTCCAGTGCTTCACGTAACTTCCTTAGCGTACTAAACGCGAAATCGCGCAACTTTGATGTTCATAGAAGATTACTCAAATGTTAAGCTAAATTCTACTTACCAATTCATTAAGGTTGCCCGATGGACAGTCTTTGAGGAAACCTTTATACCTATGTGAGATATATATATCGTTCACATTAGCACTTCCGAATTCAAGTTATCGACAGCTCTTAATTTTTTTAAATGAGCCATCTGTTCTTGAGCAGCACGAACACCTTTGTATTACAGGAACTTACCATTGTTGTAATTCCTTCTCGCTGACTGAAACAGAAGTAAATACAATAAATTAAAAGAAGTCCTTAAAAAAATATTTCCCGAAGTGATATACACGAAGTGCCGCCAATCGATTCCTCGTGGACAAACGATTGAGGACAGCTAGACGTCATACATGTAGCTGTCTGACTAAAATAAAAGCTGCAATAGTGATACAATAATGGAAATGTAGATCAGCGACTCACAATAGGTTTTGCGAACCAGTTCGGTGACTAATTCAGGCTTTAACTTGCAATTCTTTTGCCCCATTTCACTCAAACCCAAATGATTAATTACAGTGTTGTTCCCAACGACCACACATCCTCGGCAAAAGTATGCTGCGTCTCTCTTGAGATTTTTTGAAGTACGTATGTGACATTATAACGTTGTCATGGAGATTGCGTTACACCCAGTGACGTTACTTTACATTTACAGTAACTTTGAAATTCCCTAATCAATCTGCTCCTAAATATATGGCTATTGAAATACTTTGAACTAGAGAAATCTGTTCTGTGAAACGATTTTTGATGTTGTGGCATTTCACTGTCGCATCTGATGAACTGCAAATATGCTTGTTGAAGGTCTGAAAGATAACTATGAAATGCGCCAGTGGCAAACATATATCATCCGCTTCTAAACCCCATTAGCCTTCAAATCAAGTGTATACTTTTCAGCATTATTTGTTAATTAAACGCCAAATAGAATGAGTCGGGCACTTCTTTACTATGATAGAGTGGATTTTTCAAACGCTCAGCATGGGTTTTTCTCATTATTTGAGTAATTTTACGGGTTAAAATAAATTATCATATAAGTGCTGATGACGCATTCTAAAATTATGGGGAACAGATTAAATTCAACACATTCTAGAATCATTTATTTTAAAATAAAAAGGAAAAGATCTAAAATCCAGGGAATTCAATCGTAGTTTCAAATTGGCATAAATTCGAGTGTGTAAAATGTTCTGTAAGATATTTTTTGTATCAGAGTTTCCCACGACGATCCCACAAAATCCAGATAGTGCAACGCAGCTTTCGGTTTGGTCGACAGAAAAATAGAATCATACAAAATCCGCATCAATATTACATTGGGCGGAGTTAATATAATCGGAGTAAAATAAAGCCAAATTAAATAGTGCCCACAAAAACAAAAAAGTGTGAGGATATATAAAACGAAAGAAACCCAGTTGAATAAAATACTCGATTAAATCTTATGACGATAAAAACCAAAAGAATATTCGAACAAAGTAAGCACTGGCGTTTTTTCCCCCTCAGGTCAGAGATAAATTAAAATGGGTTGATAATGATAGCAAACCCTTAAAATATGATCAGCCAATCAGGAAGGACTATAAGCTTGCGCGTTGGGCATGAAATCCTGCGCGAATGACGAGCCAATCCCGATCAAGAAGCAGCCCACGTGGAAAATATCATGGAATTCAGCCGAGCAATGCAAGCGGTATAAACACTACAACCGGCTGAGAAAGAAATCAACCGCTTTAATCTCATGAGTACAAAAATCGAGAAAGAGCTTTAAAAACAATAATACCGAGTGTTACTGCGCAAATCAATGGTAAACCCTTGAAATGCGGGTTGGCTGTGATAGTAAACCTTTACAATTCTGGAAGCCAGTCAGGAAAGAGTTTGAACTGTCTGGTTCAGCGTGAAACCTAGCGCGGTTTTCAAAGTCTTTACTCGACTTTTGACAAACAAGAGGGCAAACATGGTTATTTATGTAGGGCAAATCTATATTTTTGTTATCACTCATTTTATTTTTGACCAACAATTATTCATGTAACTTCTAAGGTTCTTGGAAAGGAATGGAAAAAAATTAATAAATGATGTAAGTCTTCTTTACTGACTTCTGTTTTGAGTTAATCTTATGTTAAGACAACTTGCAATTGTTCCCTTGCTTAAGTCATGTTCCCAAAATTTAAGTCCTATAACTATGCCTTTACTGTTTTATGATTCAGAATCTCTTATATTTATCTGCAATTAATATTATTTTTGTTTGCAGTCGTAATTTTCATTGGAAAGTAATGGAAATCTTATGCAAGAATTGAAGAACTCTCGCTCCTGAACTAAGGGTTCACACTCAATGTTGACCATGCTCGCAATTTTTCATCAACAAAAACAAAAACTTCTCCAGGTAAGCATATATCTACTCTTTAGCTTTTCAGTTTTAAATACATCACTAATTTTTCATCAGAATTTCTTGAAAATTTTTCAATGGATATTTTTTATGATGCAAATGCAACACTGCTTGAAAGAACGTCTTTTTACGGCAATTTAAATGGAAATCTTTCCTAAAAGTTTTCGAACAGCATGTATGGTAAAATAATTATTGTTAATCAACCTCATAGCATATGCTTCTTCGTTTTGGAATATAATTTCACTCTTTCAAAATCAAATTCTCTCATCGAAAAGACACAAGAAGGACGTGCTTAACATTTGGCGCGAAATAGTTTCAGTGAGGAAAATCCTTCCTTACACGAAAAAAAAATTGTTCTATTTATGATCGTCAGTTGCTTTGTTGTCTACGAAACTCTTCTATAATATCAATTATTGTTTGCAAAATATGGAAGTTCTAATTTTATAATTTGACAGGAAAGGTCTTTAAGTATCAAAGTTGCGATGAAAAGGAAAAATAATTTTTTGGAATCTATCATGAAACTTTTTGTTGTCTTGAAGGGGAAAAGTAATGATCTTTGTCTTTTCATCGTATACAAAATTTCTCGTTATTATCTTAGAGTTCAATTTCTGATACGCATTGTACACCTTTGCGCGTGTACTTTTGTTGCCCTGTCTATGAGCATTTATAAACGGTTTCTTCTGGATTTTCGTGAATAAGCGAAAAATTGGAGAGCCGGAGAGAAATGGAGGTACATTAATTACCTCTTATCAGCAGGGAGTTTAGTAACTGAATAGCATGCGAACATAAATTATACTTCACGGCTGAAACTTAGCTTTACATTTGTAAGTTTTAATCAAGCACGCAAGATTTTAAATATTCTTAGTGCTGCATTATGTCATACTGTTGGACCTACACAAAGATACAAATGACAATTGAAAAGGGTACTACATTAAACTACACTGAGAGAAACTTGAGACTTAGATAATTTCATACTTTCAAACAGATTTGTAACTTTTATACACACTCTTTAAATAGTAACTAAAAGATACAGGAGATCATATACACTTGTTCACAAGAGGAACCAAATCATAAATAATAAATTATTTCACGCCTTACCTAGTGAATATTTTACAACTCCAGTGTAAGTGAAAACGAGTGTTTGCATTGTTGTGATAAATGTTCCCTTACATTATGGTTTTTATCAAAATTTGCACAGTGGAAAGATCATTTTAAGGTTTAAACTACAATGCTGTCATGACGTAGGCTTAGGGACATGTCAATCAACATTTTAGTCTCCAAGGAAAGTGTGCGGAGGGGAATGGAGGAGTCTTGGAATTCAATAATGCCTCTTACATATGCTAGATAACATCAAGTGTATCATGTGAATAAGCTAACACTGATCAGCTAAGTAGTAGCTACATCACTACTTTATCTCTCCATCTCTCCATACATGGTAAGGCATATCCTTGGTAATGAAGGTATTCATCCTCCATCTCTATGAACAGGAAAACCCTTCCGTGCAGTGGAGCATCCTTTTATAAGCTAAGAATATTCCCATACTGTGCCCTATTCAGTATACATTCCTTTTCCTTGTGAATTCATGTTTAAAATTTCACTGCTCTGTGAGAATAACCTCTCAACCATAATTGTAAGTCATATAACTTTATGGGCCAATGTTCAATGAAGCACCTCCCTCAGAGAGACCACTGAATGTGAAGAACAAAAGCCCAACACATAAATGAAAAATATTGACTTGTTCAGTGAAAGTTGCCAAGTTAACTGTAGGAGAATTAATTGCTACCAGCTACATGCACATGTAAGACAGTGTAGATCACACTTTCTGAGAAATTAATCTGTGGGTCAGTCATCATCAGCTTGTGAGGAATCCTCCTGTGGTAGATCAATAGCTAGGGCCTGTACTATCCAAGGGTCACACTTGGAACCCTCACGAAACTCCTCCATAGTTAACTTGCCATCTTTGTTCTACATGTTGTTAAAGACAACAACACAAAGTTTGTTAGTGCTTCATCTGGCCCCCTTACATCAACTTTGGTAAATATTACAAAAAAAAAAGCATTACCATCTCAAAAACCAATACTACTACTGTTCACTTTTTAGAATCACAGTGAGAGAATTTTTATTTTTAGTACTCACCTTGTCCATTTGTTTAAAAATCTTGGTTACTCTTTTTTCTGGCGTGTCTTCATCTTTTGGCAAATCTATAATATTACCCTACAAAATGCAAAAAAAAAAAAAAAAATTACCATTTTTCACTACTGGAGATAATACCATTCGTGGTGTATGTGAAAAAATTTCTTCATTCAGATTGGCTTGGAGAAATGCAATTTTCACCAGAAATTTCAGAGGTAGTTCAGCAAAAAGGGGGTAAGTCAGTGTAAAAGAAACTAACAAACTGTTTAGCTACCCTTACTGCTTTGCCTGAATATATTTATGACCCAACACAAAATGAAAATTGCAGGGTTTGAATAAATTATTTCTGTATGTGAATCACGCCCTTTGCTTCTGTAAGACTATCTCAAAAATTTTTTAAATGTACAAAGTAAATTGTTGATATGCATATGTAACTACATACTAGTGTTAAATAATATTTCTCACGCAATTTGAAATGAACAACAATCTTGAATTGTTTTAAGGTTACCCTTGCAGTTGTTCTATAGACTCAAACAAGTTTTGATGGTCTTTAAAAATCTTCCTAGTACTTATTTAAACAAAATTTCAACTGAAATCATGTGACAGCTAATCAGATAATTGATGAAGTTGGAACACTTTTTCTGGAGGAATTTACTTGCTCCTGATGAAAGATCATTCACAGAATGCAATTTTTGTTTCTAAATCTATGGTATACAGAAACAAAAACAGATTTGTAGTGTTATGATTGACATACCACCATACAATAGATTGCTTCTACAATCTTAAGCATTTCATCTCTTGTGATGTATCCATCTTTGTCAAGGTCGTAAAGACTAAATGCCCCTAAATAAAATTAATGACAATGAATAAAATAAAAATTAAAAACCCAATTAAAAATCTTTTGAGAGTAGGTCTCACCTCGAGAATAAAAAACATTTCATAAAGTAGGCAGTCAAGTTTGTTCAAACACTTCTCTTATAAAGAATTTTAATGTTTTAAAGAAGTGTACAAACAAATTTGACTGCCTACTACAAGAACTGAGAACTGCTCTCAATGTGTAGTCGCACTCAATTGGTGCAATTAGGTTTTTAATTTCAATTTTTAATTTGGTTTAATTAGCTTCTAATCATTTCTTCTCTTTATACGTTCTTATTGTCTGTGTACACTTTTATTTTATTTTATACTTCTTACATGCATGTATATATATATTCATTGTGACATTCTTATTATTCACTTGAAAACGACTGAACCTGAACCGACCCTTCACTTTTATTGTCAAAAGTCTTCCAGTAACTGAAACAATTCATAATAAACACTGAAAGAAGAAACAATTGTGAGATATGTGAAATGTGTGCTTTCCAACTCTCCTTTGTTCCACACCAGGGCTCAGTTGTATAAAGGGCAGATAATGCTATCCAATGGATAAATCACTATCCAGCAGATAAGTGATAGCAAAATGTAAAGTGTCATCCACCATTCAGATAGAGATTTATCCAGCGGATAACATTATCCAATCTTCGAACTACCTGGGCCAGGATGAAAGTGAATTGAGGCATACAAAAATCAAAGGCACAGGATCCAAACAAATCAGATTTCAATGTACTCAAATGAAAAGGTTATCCCTGAATAACACCTTGTTGGATATGTTGCATCAACCCTTTCAAGGGGAAAGAAACTTTATAAATGGTGTAAAATGTAACACACAATTAAGATTAAGGTAACTTACAACTTGTTCAAATAATCTATCTCTGCATAGGGAGGGCCAAAGCATAAACTTTCAAGGTTTCTCTTTGTACATGTAAATACCATGTTCCCAAGTTTCACATCTTTTGCTATTCATCAACTTACCAGTAGCCCAAAATTTACCATCTTTCTTAATCTATAATAAAAACACATGTGGCGCTGTTGACAATGGTGATCCCAGCAGTTTGCAGGTCATTTATTGTCCATATACCCTATGTTACTAAAGGTCTAGTTCACTAGTGATTTCTGTGACTCAGTCTGCAAAGCTTGAGACCACAAAATATAAACAATATGTTTTTTTTACCTGAGTAGGAAGTTTGTGAAAGGAAAAAAAAAATGAATGCAAACAATACTCACACTCTAATTTTTCATCCAAACTTCCCCGGGAAGTAATTGATAAAGCAGTAATAAACTCAGTAAAGTTAATTGATCCATCCTTCAAGGAAAAAATAAAAATAAAAAAATTCAAAATCTTAATCAAGATGTTTGTACCAAGTGTATATTTAGCACAACCAAACTTTGAATCAATCTGCATAAATCTCAACTGTGAATAAAACTATATTACACATCTCTGCCATTACTCCTGGCCTAAAGCAAGGAACAAAGAAAGACAAGAGGTAGCTGTATAAAAAGACTAGAACAATACTTACAGAGTTTTTGTCAAAAACTTTAAACACAAAAGCTGCAAATTTAGAAGGATCACCAAATGGAAAAAACTGCTGGTAGATTTTTTGAAACTCCTGTTTAAAATGAAAAGAGGCCTCATTAATTCATATAATGCAATTGAAAGACTAATTTGTAATGAATTTTAAAGCAAGATTTAGCCTTACTCTATTTCTTCTGACTTTTTTATACCCACTATATTTTGTGTACACAATGTGCACCTAAACAGAGATAATTTTGTAATGCCATTTTGTTCCTCTAGAAAAGCTTACATGTGTGTTACATGCTGCAAATTCTTTAATTATAATAATAATAATAATAATAATAATAATAATGTTTTTTTAATCCTACAAAATGGATCAGCTAGTACACGAGGAAAAGCTGGTATTAACCCATGTGTAGCATATAAAAAATGCTCTATAACTTCTATCTCTATGAATAAAATATCAACTACTGGAAAAAAATCAACTCTAAAATTAAGTTAGCGAACAACGATGCAATTTAACATCTAACTCTCTGAAATAACCATATAACTCAGTCTTAAACCTCTTCAAAGAGGTTATGTCTCTAATGCATTTGGGAAAACTATTCCAATCTGCTGCTGCAGAATACTGAAAAGTTGTTTGGCCAGTATAATAACAGATTGACATGCTGCTACTATTCTGTTGAAAAGTATGATCCATTTGAAAGTTATATGAAGGTAACATTTCCAGTAATTAAGAGCTTTCTTTTTCCCAACACCTAACCAAAAAATAAATTCATTGTATGGTGGTAGTTAGAATTAAAGAGTTTTGGGAAAAAATGTTTTCTTGTTGGGAATCAGTTTTCAAATTCTCTCTGTGTCTCCTTCTCCCAACAGATACATGTTCCTGTATTTGCCACAGAAAATTTACAATCTAACAATTTGATATCACATTTAAAGCTGCATCTAAAACATGTAGCTATAGATCATTTCAGTATCCCAGACCATAATTCATGGTAATTTTCAAGATAAGATAAAATTTTGAAGACAAACATACATGAACCTTAAATTAAATATCTATTTGCTATATAAAATACTAAGATGCAAACTTCTGATGATAAACAAGTAATTAAAACTCTTTCAAAGGCAAATGCTAGGTTGCATCTGCCAAAACATGTTAATATAAAATTTAAGTATTAAAATATACAATTTAAATATTATCTGGGAAAGTACTGGCTGAGTTTAGGCACTATCTGTTGGAACTATGCTCATGTAAAACAAGCACGTGTACATTGTTTCTGTAGCAATGCTTTCTGAAAGGGTTTGGCATAAATAGAGAAGAAAATTTGGAATGTTTGGAACTAAAACAGTAAGAAAGCAGTCAACCTCCCACAATGCACACATGGACATAAAATATCAACCAGATAACAGTTTGAATATCTAGCATTACACAACAAATATGTAGAATAAATACTCATAGTTATAGGACTTAAATTTTTCCAAGATTTAAATTTTCCTGATAAGTTATGATTTTCAATCAAGATAGTGTACTGACATCAAGCTAAAAAAAATCAGTCAGAGAAAAAATTGACCATGCAAATTGCAAAATAAGACTTGAGGTGAGATAACACTTTGCATGTCATAAATTTTTAACTGTCAAAAAAATAAATTATACATCAACCACTAACTCAAAATGCACATTACCCATAGCTAAATCATATCATGGTGAAGCAAAATAAACATCTCAACAGTGGTAAACAATACTGAACAAGTAAACATCTGTAAATCTTCTGATTTTAGTTTTATATTATATTATGATACAAATGTTACAAGCCCAAGGAATAAATTTAAAAGCCCTATTCTGGCAAGGAATAGAAATGAATTGATAGTTATCTGCAATTTCAATATGCCCTAAAGTTCTTTTATCAAACTAAGATATTGATGGATCCAATCCAATTGTATGGTGTAAAAAAATTAGAAGCCTTAAGTACATATTCAGAGTTTAAAGACGGTGTCAAAGGGTACGAATATGAATACAAAGTAAATATATAATTTTGACGAAAAATCGATGTAGCTCGACATACTTTGGAGAGGCTACTTAAGCATTATTAAAAGTCAAGAGTTATATATAACGAATTTATTTCAAAACTGAAAAGGACGAATACAATTAAGCTTAAAGTACAAAGTAGGGAACTTTTAATGCTAGGGTTTCATTACATATCTTTCTGTAGCTAAATAGAACCTTAAAATTAACAAAAAAAAAGTGTTCGTTAAAAAGAGCCACGCAATTTGCAAGAATTTTGAATGAAGTTCAATCAACTTAGTCTAAATTTTCCAGCAATCGTCATAGAATGAGAAGACGGCTTTACTGATTGGTAATTAGCGAACACTGACCTCTTGTCTAAGCTCACCAGAGGGGCAATCTTTCATGAAGTCTCGATACCTACGGGAAATATAACGAAATAATTAGCAAGTCAAATCCCCGTTTGCAAAACTTCCACAAAATGGTAATCAGCCTTGTTAGCAAATTATTTCCATCGAAAACAATACTCTAAACAAAGCCGAAACGGTTGTTGACGAGAGTCTGCCAACTTATGGTAATTACTATGACAAAACACGTCCATTAAATAGCGTTTTACCAAATAATAACTTTGCACTTACCACTTTTGTAATTCCTTTTTATCGACTGAAGGAAGAAAAACAAGGTAGGTTCTGGATTAGCGTTGTAGTAAACATATACACCAAATCAAGTCTAATTCAAATACTGTTTCTGACACTAACAACAAGGTAATTGACAAGATCATAAACTTACAGTAAGTGCACTTAAGCAGCTCTCGCATCTCTTCCTGAGTCAGCTTACTTCCCTTGTGCCCCATGATGACAAACACAGTAATTCACTCAAGTTAGCAGCATATCTTTATCACCTGAAAACCACAACTCCACAAATTGACCGCCATCTTAGCTTAGACTACCCAGAATACATTACGATGTTATTGGGGGAAGAGTATTGAACAGTAGCCAATCAGAAGGTGTGAACAAGATTCAGTACTCGATAAACATTTTAGTATGCAATGATGTGTGGAGTAATTGCCCCTCAATAGTTATCATTCATAAAAATATAGGTAAATATCCATTGCTTTCACCAATCCCGAGGTAAATAATCGTTTTGGAAGACACCACTCAAGCTGAATAACTCGCAAACCTAAACATCTTTTTAATTTTGACGCGTTCAATTATTTTAGTCTAATTGCAAAGATCATTAGCGTAAAAAATATTCCTGCTGTTTATTCTTTAGCAATATCAAAAACTTGCGCATAGGTTACAGCAAGATATTACGTAATTTACGACCAATCAGGGCGCGCTTTTGTCGAGATAATTGTAATTTAAAAGAAAAAAAAAGTTAAAGTTAGATAAGATACTCGGACACTTGTCCGCGGACATTATCCGTTCGAAAAATAGAAAAGGAAAACGTAAATGAGGTGTGAACTCCTAGAAAACGTTTTGTAGTGAAGCGGAATATCTTTAAATGACAGAAGCACATCGAGAGCAGAACGCGTGAATTCGAAACATTTGTTCAGCTGTTAGCTTATTTTAACACAACGTGAAGCCAGAAAACAAATTGGTCCACTAAAATTATCAACAATTGACGATAGATAACGTAATAGGTATTGAGAAGATATTACAGTTCGGCTCATCATTTCACCTCTTTAGCACATACCGTATGTGCGTAGTTTAATTTGCTGTTTTTGAACTTCGAAATGCAGCTTCTGAAGCTGAAAGAGGTACAACACGTGTTCACGTTTCCTGTAGCCCGGTTCCATTACATGATTTATGAGCATTAGTTATTTTATTGACATTTGTGAAAATGCCTCAGCCCTGTAAAGATATCGACCCCGTAATGTTACTTACAGTTCTCGTTCTCTGCTCCATACTTAGTGTATACTCCACAAGTGAATAGTGCTTTTCGCGCACACTGATCGGCTAGTTCGGAAGTGAATAGTTAGTACTTTAAACCTCCTGAAAAGCAGGTGCATTTGTGAAAAGCTTCTATGGGATCAGGGAGAATCTCTTTATCGATTTATTACTGCTTGAATATGGGGGCCCAATGACTCTATCCCGCCCCTCCCAGTCTCCCGGTTCTGATCCAAATTTGGATATCAGGACCTCTCCGTTATTTCAAACTTTACCCACGTTCCCGGGCGTAAACTTGTGCGAAGGTTTTATCATAACGTTATTCCAAAGACATTCTTCAGCTTCTCAAACCATTTTACTCGTTCTTGGAAGGTTTCAGATCATAATTACGGACTTCTTACTGTGCAGCTTACTTAACCTTATTTGCTCCTTGTAGAGCAAAGGCCATCGACGGAATCTTACCATCTCATCTCGGCCCCAAAATGATCCCGAGTCGAAATGATCCTCAGCCCTGTAAAGATATCAACCCCGTAACGATCCCGGCCCCAGAATATTCCGTAGCCCTCAAATGATCCTCAAATTGACCCCAAAATGATTCCCAGCCCTGAAATGCGACGAATCAGAATTTTCCTTTGTCCCACTAAAAAAATTTTTGAGCAATATCTTTCGTCGTTTCGGATTATATATTCACTTGCTATTAGCTAGTCCAAAAAGCCATTCGAAATAGCGGTTGCAGCTTTGGAAAGGCTGTTTTTTTCTCATTCAGCCTTTGCTCTTTGTTTCTAAGGAGACTGTGCTACATAACGAAAATCTGGCATGGTAGTCACAGTCACTAAGGACTACTGATAATTATGGCGAACATTGATTCATCCTGAGGCAAAATGAAAGCGAGTGATCATGATCTTTACGTTAAACAAAGTGCAAACTTGCACACGTGCCGATCAAGAGCAAAATTTGAAATGAACAGAGTCAGAATAATATTTCTTTTAAAATGCAGTTCTTCTTTCAGGTGTGGTGAAGTATCGTGTGTTACAGTATAATCTAACCGACAGAAAATACACTACAATCTTATAAACTCAATTACTTTATTGAACAGCAAGTAATGCTCTTAACAAGGAGCGACTCCAGTACAATACTTATCGTTAACAAACTTAACTAAGCCCAGCACAGTCTATATCCCAGCTCACCACTAACACAATCTCACTGCTGTCTCCAAAGGCCCTTGAAATAAGCAACTTCCGCTGTAACTCTCTCTCGGTATAGCTTTCAAAACAGTCGTCGCTCCGACAACACCACGATGAATAACCACAGCCTTTTTTACGATATTTTAGAAGTATTACATAACAAATGCGTGACTTCATGAAACGTTCTGAAAAGTTCTTTGGTATGCAAGTCGGCATGACTCAGCAGTCTGGGGATTTCTAGAAGCATATGTTTACAATAATTACTCATAACATGTGGAGTTACCACAAACAATGAAAGAAATTTACCTCGAATAGCATTGCGTAAATTTGGGTTTCTAGCTTTGAAATAACAGCCGTTTCAAGTGAAAAAGCGAAAAATTTCGCATCTAGCGAATTAAAAAACGCAAAATACTCAAATACATCCTAATATCCCCTCTAAACAATTCGGTTTATGATCCAAAACTAACACAGGGAGACAAACTTTTGGTGATAATTCAAAATGTGATGGTCATTCAGTCGGTTGCGGTCGCTCAGATTTAACTTTTCATCTCGAACGCAGTATTTTATAACACGAGTGCGACGCAATAGTTAGTTTTCTTCAAGTAGAATTATTTCCCTTCAAGCGCTTTAGACTTTCGTCGAGTAAAGTGATACATATAATCCAAACAACTGGTAACAGGCCTTTTATTAAAGATGAGCTCTTCAATTCTTTGCATTTGTGCAGTGACCACAATGGAAAAACTTATGTTCAAGCGGTTGGCTGACTTCTTAGATTAGAGACACGTAATTTGTTAGTATACAAGCAGTTTGGATTTTTTTAACACCATTCAACTGCCGGAACATGCTGTATAGTCATGTACGTAGTATTGTTGACGAAGTGCAAAAAGCTATTGAAGGTCATGTTTGTTCCTACGGAATGTTCCTATGGCTAAAATTCACATGCGAGCTAAAATGTGCTTTTTTGTCAAATGCCTTAAAAAACAAGAAAGTGATTGTAGTCCTTCAACATTAAATTTCGTCGATTTACAGCTCACTCAATTCATAAGAGAAATTTCACTTAAACGCCTTGAATCTTAGAAAAAATTGCTTAATAAATATCATCAAAACTTTTGTCCCCTCCCTTACGTATCTATTATTGGGCTCAAGGTAATGAATTTGGATCAACGTCAGTATCTGAGAAAATGCGCACCACCCCTTCCCTGGCCCAATATTAACCCTAACTTGTTATTAGTCGACTGTTATTGGGTTAGGGGAGGGGTAGGTGCGCAGTTGTCTCACACTAACTTGCAAAGACAATCTGCGAAATCCGCAAAGATTTTAAATATTGCAAAATAATCATGCTGCACGGTAATAACAGTAAGTTATTCTCATCTTGGTCAAGTATGAATACTTCATAAAAGGATGACTCCCTTCCCATTTATCTGAGTTTTTTGAGTCCTCGTTGTCGTATTGTATATACTCCTCAGTACCCAGGGCCCCCTCTACTTTCTGACACTCAGACGAACCGTAAGCTAGCAAGTAAAAAGGTTTTTCCACGGGGAGGGTGATGGGATCGGACTTGTTACCATCCGTCTGACAACAAAACGATATCCTTGTAGCATTGTCATATATACCATCAGGAAGTGTTCCACCATTACTGTTGTTGTTACTTATGTCTTCGTCATCCCACTGTATAAATCCTTCGCTGAGTCCTACTGGACAAGTGCCTTTCTTGTAAATACAATATTGGCCTGGAAAAACAATTGCTATTTAATTTTTCGTATTTTATTTTATCATAAAACCGGACAAATCACGATCCGATATGTTTCTTTTATGTTCATAATCCTGTTTAGTATCCTATAAAGTTATACGAAGACAGTTTAAAAGCGAAATTATAGCGAAGAGTTTTAGAAAGCACTGCTCGGGCGCAAGAAAAAACAAAAATGGCTCGAGAGGTGAAAAGTTGGAAGAGATAGAAAGATTTCGTTGGTGGCCTATACTGCGCAACCAACGAACAAGCGTTAATAAGTTTATACAGCGGGGATATGAAATATTCTAGGGAGAAGCCAAATAGTAAAAGAAATTGAGGGTTGTTTTTGGGGTGAAATCATGTTGAAACTTTGGCCCTTGTTTATGCCCGGGAAGTGGATCAAGTTTGAGATAAAGCAAAGGTCGTTACATACATTGTTAAAACTCACGTGGCTCCAGTGAATTCTATCAATAATTACTGAGCCTTGAGAGGAAGAATCGAGTAATACCGAGATTAGTCACTAATCCAGCACAACGGGAATATCGGGAAATCTCAAAGAGCTTTAAATAACGGAATAACGAAAAAGGCGTCGTGCTGATGTGAAAGTGTCCTGTTCAACTACGAAAAGAGAGAAAGTTGAAAAAATTAAAAAATGCTTGAAAAATCATTACCCAGAGGCCATGGTTTCGCTCCAGTACCGACTTTGTGTACGTGTTTTATGCAGAAACTTCTGTTCACATGACTGTCCAAAACAACTGCATCTAAATGAAAACTATCCGAGAAGCGATTTTTGTTGGAAGAGTCTTCCGTATCTTGTAACCTCCAGCCTGTCTCCCACTCAGAGCCATGAGGGGGCTGAGGACAGCCAGTCTTGGAACGAGGAAGTCCGTATGTTCCGGATGGCCAGGTATCTGCCGCACAAAAGAAAAAAATTTGGCCGTTACACTTCCGAGATCTCAATATTCATAACCCTCTCTAAAGAAAAAATACACATACGTATACAAACTTACATACACATATACATACAATCAAAAGACCAACTTTTTAAGATCACGATACTTTTAAAGCACCCACCTTTACCAAATTTTACTGTCATGTAAATCCGTCTTGGGTCTGTAACATAATTGTCTGGTCTTGCCTCCTTGCTTTGCTTATTCAGTTCACAGATACTTTCGTCGATAACAAAGTTGATGCTCTGACACTTTTCTTCTTTATCACATCTCTTGACGCAAACATGCAGGCTATTGACTTTGAATGTGTCATATGTGTGTCCTTGAAGAGCTTTTCGGAAGGCTGATTCTTGCGAATTGCACTTACCAGTAGCGTTAGCATGTGTTATCCTGGATACCAAATGGAAGAAAACAACTGTACATAGTGCTCCAACAACGGTTTGGGTTCTCATGTTGTGGCTATCAACTTATTTGCGGCTTCTGTATGAAAATGAAAGAGAGAATATTCTTTAACCAGTTTATCATCCCCTTGATATCGTAGCCAGATTCTATCGTGGAAGGACTGGGTAGGAGACTATCATTCCCTATGACAGAGTTTGCCGAGGAAAGTATATTGATGTTCTTGATGGCAAAAACACGGACGGCGGAGCAGGGTGTGAGAGGGGCTCTAATCTCCTTAAAAGCTGATTTGTGGGTGCGCAAGCAGCCCTCTCCACCTCCCACTCCCACTTAGATAAATTATGCTCGAATCTGAGACTTGGCTTTTGAGCGTCTACCCTAAAAGTAAGGCTTTATGCCGAAAATAATGCTCAATGTGTTTCATTATGCTCGATTTGATAATTCGAAATAATAGTAAATAAGAGCCCTGCACTCCCCCCCCCCACCACCCCACCTATTTTCTATCACCAAGAAGTAAAACTTCCCAAGAATAAAAGGCTTACCGAAGTTCAGAACACAATGTTTTACTGAATCAAATTCTTATAGTGCAAGTAAAAAAATGCACGTTGGCTCACTATCGGCAATACTTAGGCTACAGAGTTTATCTCCTGTTGAATTGTAACATTGAGGGGATTTTTGAGAAGTTTAGTCATTATGTCTGTATTATGCTCAATGCTCTGATTATAGCATTATACCCAAAATTACACCGGCGTCGTTTATCTGAGACTACTCCCACTGTATTTTCATGCGGAAATTACCGCAGGTGCTGTGTATAATTGGTTTCGTAAAATATTTAGTGCTTTTTGGCCCACAGAGGATGATTCATAAAGATCGCAAGCGACAAAAAATATTTATTGGAGGAGCTTTTATCAACTTTCTGCCTATTCATTGCCAAGAATCGATTTAGCACAAGCTGTTCATAATGCAGAGAGGTTTCCCTGTGAAAACAAACCACACATGAACGAAAAAAGAAAAGATCACACAAAGAAAACAAAATTCAGACTTGATAAACAATACAAACTTGAAACTTGACACAAAAAATAGAATGTATCAAAACACAGGGTAAACACTATGGTAATTCTTCGCGTTTTAAAATGTTTCGAAACCCTTTAAAAAAATAAAGTCGAGCTTCAGCAGATCTTAGCAGTGACTCCGCTAAATAACAGTATCTAAAAATAGAAAACGTCCTTCGATTTTTTTTCACGATTTAGTGAAAGGAAGAACCCAACAAAGGAAAAAAATTCAGACTTGGAAAATAGTTCGAACTTGAGCTGAAACATGGAATATCATATCGCAACCTTTACTCAGAGAACTTTGTGATCATCTGAAAAGTAAGAGGTAAAATCGGTAGACGAAAAACGATCTTTTAATTAATTATGACCGAAACAAATTGGAAAAAGTACACGATGACCAAACTCACAACGTATGGGATAATTGTGCTGGTGAGTTTTGACATTTTAAATGCTGACTTTGCCATCGTGGCAACTCATACGAGAAATTCTTAAGGATGCTGACGATGAAAATCGCTCGAGGCGTATTTAGCTGAGTGCAACTGCTAGCTACCTTGAGCGCTCTTAAAACTTCTCAGGAGCTTCATGCTGAGGTTTTTATGTTGTAAGAAAGGAAGTTCCCATTTAATGCATTCATTATGCGAAACAGAATGTGGAGCCGGCTGGCTTAAAAACATTTTATAACCCGAATTTCCTAATGAGGAACATCAAGAAACTTCGAACGTTAACCTCACGTAGCGCTAAGGACAATATACAAAAACAGGACTAAAAAGATACCGACACTTAGATAAGGGAGTACAATTGGTTTCGTGAAATACTTAGTGCTTTTTGGCCTACCGAGGATGACTCATAAAGATCGCAAGCGACAAAAAATATTTATTGGAGGAGCTTTTATCAACTTTTTGCCTATTCATTGTCAAGAATCGATCTAGCACAAGCTGTTCATGCTGCAGAGAGGTTTCTCTGTGACAACGAACCACACATGAACGAAAAAACAAAAGGTCACACAGAGAAAACACAATTCAGACAAAATAAACAATACGAACTTGAAACTTGGAAAACTTAACACAAAAAATGGAATGTATCAAAACACATGGTAAACACCATGGTAATTTTCGCGTTTTAAAATGTTTCGCAACCTTTAAAAAGTAGAGTCGAGCTTCAGCAGATCTTAGCAGTGGCTCCGCTAAATAACAGTATCTAAAAATCGAAAACGTCCTTCGATTTTTTTTCACGATTCAGTAAAAGAAAGTACCCAACAAAGGAAAAAAATTCAGACTTGGAAAACAGTTCGAACTTGAGCTAAAACATGGAATATCATATCGTAACCTTTACTCAACGAACTTTGTGAGCATCTGAAAAGTAAGAGGTAAAATCGGTAGACGAAAAACGATCTTTTAATTAATTATGACCAAAACAAATTGGAAAAAGTACACGATGACCAAACTCACAACGTATGGGATAATTGTGCTCGTGAGTTTTGACATTTTAAATGTTAAAAGTCACCTTTTGAGGAAAATAAAAAGTACTTCATAAACTTACTTTTGTTAAGATTTTTGTGTTGATATATTCAGGCTGACTTTGCCATCGTGGCAACTCTACAAGAAATTTTTCAAGGATGCTGACGATGAAAATTGCTTGAAGTGTAGTTAGCTGAGTGCAACTGCTACCTACCTTCAGCGCTCTCAAAACTTCTCAGGAGCTTCACCCCGAGGTTTTTATGTTGTATGAAAGGAAGTTCCTATTCAATGCATTTATTTTGCAAAATAGAATATGGAGCCAGCTGGCCAAAAAAAAAATTATAATCCGAATTTCCTAATGAGGAACAAGAAACTTCGAACGTTTACCTCACGTAGCGCTAAGGACAATAGACAAAAAGAGGACTAAAAAGATACCTATACTCAGATAAGAGAGGAAAAGACTTCACTCAGAGGACTGAAAAGCCGTGGGTGCATCTGTGAGATGCTTTTATCAAGATCGGGAAGTGGTTTGCCTGTACTCACGAACCACGCCGAAAAAAACACATTTTAACAGTTTTTAGAGAGGGAATGTTCTTGATTTAGTGAGAGAAGAAGCCCTCGTTTTCTCCTAACGTTTCAAAATGGCACCCTGCCGTTGAAAATGAAGTTGAGGTTTGTTATTGACTCTTAACGACACCCCATACACAGCTTGAACATGTCCTTTGTTTTCTGAATAATTTACAGGGAGCAAATGCCAAACTGGGACGAAAAATTTTGGACTTGATATACAGTACAAACATGAAAACTAGAAATAATCAGAATCAGTACAATTCAATTACACGAATTAACTAGCGAATTTGTGACAACAAACTTCAAACGCTTACCATGCTCACCTCACTGGCGGCAACACCAAAAATATTGGACAAAATAGGACCAGAAAGATATTTATGCTTATCTAAGGCAGAAAAAGATTTAAGGTGCCCAAGAACATTTTTCACGGACACCTACTGAGTATATTCAAGACGCTGAAGACACAACTGTCCCTCTTGGCGGTCAATTCAATTTACACCTGTGTTAAAGTTTGAATAAGTGGGCGTTGCATGGCAATTGTTAAACACAACTAGACTTTGTTTTTATCATAACTCGCCCTACGGGCTTTTCAAAATACGGCACAACTCAGGTAAAAATACTCAGCGATACTAAACAACAAAACGTCTAATAAGATATATTCACTGGCTGTTAAAAGTGTTTTCCTTTGTTGTCATCAGTCGAATAAGTGGGCGGTGCATGACGGTTAATAGCTATTGATATAACAATGTTATGAGAAAATCCAACAAAAGAGTTTTTTGAGGAACGAGAAGCTTCAGTGAATATAACAGAGGTTCGAACGCTTAGCAAGTGCAACACGAAGGGCATTAGACAAAGTAGGACTGAAAAGATAACGATATTTACAAAGAGGCGGAATAAAACTTCATATAGAGGACTTAAAAGCAGGTGTATTTTTGAGAAGCTTTTATGGGGGTCTGGGAGAATTTATCCTTATCATCCTGATCCACCTCACCATTAATCACCATTCCATAACTTCCTTGGGGATCATTTTAGGGCTGGGGATTATTCAGGGGCCGATATGGGGGTCATTTCAGGGCTGGGGATCATTTCAATGCTTAGACAAAACCTTCATAAATCTTAAAAGGTAAAGAGAATGTTAAGAAAGTTTAATAAACTTGCAGGGTTCAGATTCAGCTTCAATTAATATGGAAAATCTACTCCATATTCAAAAAGAACAAAGCGACCGTAGAACTCGATTAATATTTTACATTGAATTTCGAAAGTAATATTGGATTGCCCTGTTTTTCGCAATGTGATTGGCTCAAAAAACTCGCGCCACTTTCTCAACCAATCAATCAGATGCAAAACTGAAACCAAGCTCAACTTGGTCGCCTGTGTTTTCCCGCACGTTTTAGGCAGTTTGGCTGTTTTCACTATGAGTCGTGATTATCCAGCTGCACAAAGTGGAGTAAAAATAAGGCGGTATTAGAGTACAAATATCCTGCGATATTGTACAGTTGGTTAAGAAACCTGTTTAATCGGTTAGCTGCGCATGCTACGCTTCTCTCTCTGCCTCGCTTTTCACGCCTAAATAAAGTAAACAAATAGGTAAAATAAAGCAATTGGATTATAAATAATTTATCAATCTTTTTGATGTGAAGTATCGCTGAGTACTTTCACTCTTTACTTTTACTTTACGGAGCCCTTTTTTGGTTTTTCAGCTCTCGTGCAATCGAACATCGCTCCCTCAAGAACATTTGTCTTCTCGGATTGGGTCAAGAGAGGTGTCCGTAACATCACTCAATTATATTTCGACTAAGTAGTCTAGAATCGAACTTGAAGGTTAAGAGGGACCTCAGGTGAACCAAGACGACGACGGAGATGACGAAGTGGAAAAACAAAAGATCTTATGGGTAGAACAATATCTTGGCACGTGCGTTTTAAAACTTTATACTGATGTCCTCTGCAAAACAGCAACGTAAAATCACCAAAATTCACGTGCTCCGAGAGCGGAAATCCCGACATAAATTATTTTTAAGTTTCCATCTGGAACTCAACACTAATCACGTAGGTTATGCTAAATTTGAGTTATGACGGGCTACGTGAGGATAAGCATATTTTTTAATCGACGTCCTCCTCGGAATTGCCGTCTTGACTGCCGTCTTGGCTTTGTATTTTCTAATGACTCAACTAAACAAACATCTTCTTAGCGGTTTTTCATAAGTTTCTCCCCTTCTGCAAAATCTGCGTAAAAGGAACCACGCAAGTAGCCATATCAAGGCTGTATCACTTCTAAATTCATTTCTTTGATATTTTATTCATATTATTACTATATCTCTCGGAGCCATTTTTTCCCGAAGAGCTTCCTAAAGAAGACTTTCCTTAAAAAGACTTCCTGGAGAAGACTTTCCTGGAAAAGCAAGGGTGGATCCCTAAAATTTGCACTAGCTCCTTAGGGGCATTTGGGAGAAAGTGTTAACCTTTCAAAAATGATAGATTTTTCATTGCCAGAGAAGGGGTCACACACGCAGACACCCACAGTGCCTTCAGGAACTATGCCCTATTTTCTTGAAATCGTATAAAAATTCTTCATTTTGAATGAGATGCTAACAACGAAACGCTATTAATATGTGATAAGAACGAGGAAACCCTTGAACATCTTTTTGTTTTTTGTGAACACTCTAGAGCCTTCTCGAAAGAAATCTCTACTTGGTTACATGAATGCGGTATTGAAACGCTTCCTGATCTAACAGATCAAATTAATATTATGTTTGGCTTATTTGATGTCGATAATCACTTTATGCTTTTAAATCACATCATGTTAATAGCGAAGCAGACCATATTTCTCTGCAGACAGAAATCTATTACCCTAAGCTTTATTATCTTCCTCGCGCACCTTAAAAAACTTTTCAGAATTGAAGAATACCTAGCTAAAGAAAAGAAAAAACTAAACCTGCACTTAATGAAATGGGAAAAACTTTTACAATCACTCTGTTGAAATAACTTTACCTTGGGTAGCCTTGTATTAATATTTTTGTTTATTTATTTATTTATTTATTTACTGACCTTATACAATTTTATTTACTTTATACTGCTGTAATTTTTCTTTTTTTTTTTTTTTTTTTTTTTTATTGTAAAACGGAAAAACACAATAAAATATAAAAAAATATATATGTATATATATATATTAGTATGTGGGTGTGTTCTTCGTTTTACAAGAAAAATTAGATGAAATTGTAAAGGGGATGATTTAGAAACAAATCACTCTTTAACTGAGTCGCTGATAGCTCATGTGTGAAGATCACCAAGTCACTGAAGTATGCAAGAGCCGTGGTGCCAGTATCTCTTTTCAAGCCAATATCATAGACAGCATGACCAGAGTTTTTGAAATCAAGGACAGGATTATGGCTGACAACGTGATTCACTTTCCTTTCACTATTTATTTAAATCCTAAACGTGCGCTCCGATCTTCCCCGAGTGATTGCCACGTGTCTCCAAACATCTGTTTCCACGACATCTCTGTAAAAGAAACGTGCAATACAAGAAAGCTAAATAAAATTCACATATGTGAGTGAAGCATGTAATAAACTAAGTAAAATACTTTCGAAAGACAATATTGAAATATTTTTATGAGCGTGCGAAAAGAAAAACTCCCATTCCTTGCGGGGATCAATCCTGGCATTAATTAATTGCGCGCGATAATGGCGGCCCAGGAAGTCGAAAGTAAGGCAAAGAACAAGTTCTTTCTTCTCGTTCCCTCTTTCTTTGCTTCATTTCTTGGCCCTCTGGTGGCGCTATCGAGTCGCCGTTTGTTCAGTGAACACCTGGGATAGGATAAACCTCGGCAACTGGTTCCGATATTGCGTCCGGCTGCTCGCCAACAAATTTACAGCGCTGTATGAAGTTCACGCATGCGTAGAACTAGCAAATTACTGTTCAAGGTATTAGGACGCGTGTTGTGATACTGTATGGCTCAACTGCACATGAACATTGCACTTGATAGCTGGCTTTGGATTTTGACAGAACACCGAGCATATTGAGTCATCAAATCGCATTTCGGAAGTCTCAAACTCATCAAACTCTCTTCATCTTAGAGTTGAAGCTGCATCTCGGGCCCAAAATTTGCACAGGAGTCATTCAAATGTTGCATGACCCTCACGGTCAGTTTTCGCAGTGGAAAATCGCCGCCTCGTTGATCGTGACAGAAAAATTGTACCCACCCTGACTGTGTACATGGAGTCATCATGTCGCTTACTCCACGTACGTCTCGTCTTCCTTGGAAACACAGCCGATCATTTATCTCAATGTCAATTCGGAACTGACGCGGAGAAGACCAGTCTGAGTAAACTTCTTGCCTTTTTGTTAGCGGTGATTCTATAAAGATCCAAACTGCAATTGTCAAGTCAGTCTTTTGGAAAGGAACTGATGGTGTCTCTGCGAACGTTCCTTGTGTTCCACTATTCCGGAAAAAACTTTGCCGCTCCTCTTAATTCAATCTGAAAAAAACAAAAGTGATTCTTTGTGAATCATAGGGCTTAACGATGAGGTGAAAAAATTAATTACATTCTTTAAAAAGATCTTGGAGAGAAGGTGAAAAAAATTCGGAGGAAAAAGATTCATGGGGTCTGAAGCGCACAATCAGAAGCCGCCAAAACATTTCATGCTTAGACAACAAACTACGGGAAATTAAGAGTAAAATTATCCTCACTGAGTTTTATCCCGATTATCCTATCCTGAGCCCTCTTTAATAATACTACCTCGATTCCCGTTGCAGCAGAATTTTTAGAAGACAAATTATTTTTTTGTCAGCACTTTTCCTAAAGAACTCGATTCCTTACGTTAGCAAGCTGTCCGTGCCACTGAGTGTCCAGTGAAAGAGGGAACCTGGAAAATTTTATTGATACCATGAACATTTCAGTGGTAATAATTCTTCATTATTAAGACCTCAAGGGAATGTAAACGTTAGTAAAAACAAACATTTCCTTCTAAACGTTCACGTTCTTTGCTTCATACTCAGTGTATACTCCACTATAGTGAATAGTGCTTTCGCGTACGCTTATTGGCTAGTTCGGAAGTGAATAGTTAGTACTTTAAACCTTCTGAAAAGCAGGTGCATTTGTGAGAAGCTTCTATGGGGTCAGGGAGAATCTCTTTATCGAAGTTAAACTTAATTTACACACATAATATATTAATACAAAAAAGGTAACATTTACTCAGAATAACTGAAAAGCTAATCTAGCGGAGTAAAAGTAAATAATGTTTAAATACAGGACGTAGGTTGGCACTAAAGCTTGAGCAAAGCAAATTATTGGTCAAAGAAAAATAAATAAAAATATGAAAAAAAAAGAAGATGAAGAAAAAGGAAAAAGAAGAAGAAGAGACCAGTTGAAAACTCATGAAAAGTAAGACTGTAAGATGTTTTATTTGACTTTGTTTTTAAATGTTTTAAGGGGGAGGTGTTTAATGCTTTCGTCAAGGTGATTCCAAACTTTTACAGCTGCAAAACGAATGTTGAATTCACCATAGTTTGTTTTGATGGTATTAATGTAATAGGTTGATTTAGAAGCAAGCCTGGTATTGTAAGAGTTCATGGATGCTACTGTTTGAAAAAAATTTGCAAAGGAAGATGGAAGATTATAGTAATAGTGGTACATAAAAAGTGATTTGTGAAGGATAACAAGATCAGTTTATTTAAGAATCTCTAATTCCTTAAAAAGAGGCTCGGATTGTTCATCTGGTTTTGAGAAAGTTCTGGTACGTATAGCTCTCTTTTGAAGAGTTATTTAAGGTTTAAGAGTAGAGCTATAAGTATTGCCCCAAATTGATAAACCATAGGTGAGGAAGGGGTAAATAATTGAATAATATAATTGATGTATGTGTTTCTGTTTACATAATATCTAACTTTTGAAATCTTCTTGTTCAATTCGCGTAAGTATGGTTTCTAGTTTAAATTGGAGTCAAAAATGAGTCCTAAATATTTAACTTGTTATCAGATTTAACAGATGTATTGGAGATACTAAGATTCAACTTATGAGCTATTCTTCTTCGTGGAGAATGGAATACCACAAAGCTGGTTTTTTCAATGTTCAAAGATAATTTGTTAGAATATACCTCTGGCTTACCTTTTCTAATTCTACATTTAAGTTGGTTTCTAGATTTAGAATGCAAAATAATCATACTGCACGGTAGTAAGTGTAGAAAGCTATTGAAGATCACGTTTACTCCTACAGAATGTTCCTAGAGCGAAAATTTACATGCAAGCTTTAATATGCTTTTTTGTCAAATGCCTTAAAAACAAGAAAGTGATTGTAATCCTTCAACATTTAAATTTCGTCGAGTTACAGCTCACTCGATTCATAAGAGAAATTTCACTTAAATGTCTTGAATCCTAAAAAAAAAAATGCTTAATAAATATCATCAAAACTTTTGTCCCCTCCCTTACGTATTCTTGTTATTAACCCTAACTTTTTATTAGTGGACTGTTATCGGGCTAAGGGAGGGGTAGGTGCGCAGTTGCTCAGATACTAACTTTGTAAATATAAGCGGTGTTCTATTTTATGAAATTTCTGTCTAACAATAACTTGCAAGGACAATCTGCGAAGTCCGCAAAGATTTTAAAATGTCGCAAAATAATCATGCTGCACGGTAATAACAGTAAATTATTCTCATCTTGGTAGTGTGTCAATACTTCATAAAAGGATGACTCCCTTCCCATTCATCTGAGTTTTTTGAGTCCTCGTTGTCATATTGTATATACTCCTCAGTACCCAGGGCCCTCTCTACTTTCTGACACTCAGACGAACCGTAAGCCAGCAAGTAAAAAGGTTTTTCCACGGGGAGGGTGATGGGATCGGATTTGTTACCATTCGTCCGACAACAAAAAGAGATCCTTGTATCTTTGTCATATATACCATCGGGAAGTGTTCCGCCATTATTGTTCTTGTTATTCGTGTCTTCGTCATCCCACTTTATAAATCCTTCGCTGAGTCCTACTGGACAAACGCCTTTCTTGTAAATACAATATTGGCCTGGAAAAACAATTCTTATTTAATTTTTTACATTTTATTTATCATGAGAACGGACAACTCACGATCCGATATGTTTCTTTTATATTTATAATCCTGTTTAGTATCCTATTAAGTAACACGAAGACAGTTTAAAAGCAAAATTATAGCTAAGAGTTTTAGAAATCACTGCTCGGGTGGCAAGAAAAAACAAAAATGGCTCGAGAGGTGAAAAATTGGAAGAGATAGAAAGATTCCGTTGGTGGCCTATACTGCGCAACCAACGAACAAGCGTAAGTAAGTTTATACAGCGGGGATCTGAAATCTCCTGGGACCAAACCAAATAGTAAAAGAAACAGAGGGTTGTTTTTGTTTTTGGGGTGAAATCATTTTAAAAGTTTGGCACTAGTTTTTGCCCGGGAAAGCGGACTAAGTTTAAGATAAAGCAAAAGGTCGTTACATCCATAATTGAAACTTACATGACTCCAGTGAATTCTATTAATAATTACCAAGCCTTGAGAGGAGTTCTACCAAGATCGGTCACTAACATAGCGCAACGGGAACATCGGGAAATCTCAAATAGCTTTAAATTGTAAAAAATAACGGTATAACGAAAAAGGCGTCGTGTTGATGTGAAAGTGTCTTGTTCAACTACGAAAGGAGAGAAAGTTGAAAAAATTGAAAATGCCTAAAAAATCATTACCCTTAGGCCATGGTTTCGCTTCAGTACTGACTTTGTCCACGTGTTTTATGCAGAAACTTCTGTTCACATGACTTTTCAAAACAACTGCATCTATATGAAAACTATTCGAGTGGCGACTGTCGGGGTAAGTGTCTTCCGTGTCTTGTAACCTCCAGCCTATTTGCCACTCAGAAGCATGAGGGGACTGGGGACAGCCAGTCTTGGAACGAGGAAGTCCATACGTCCCGGATGGCCAGGTATCTGCCGTACAAAGGAAAAAATTTGGCAGTTACACTTCCGAGATCTCAATATTCATAACCCTCTCCAAATAAAAAATTCACATACATATACAAACATACATACACGTATACATACAATCAAAAGACCAACTATTTAAGATCACGATACTTTTAAAGCACCCACCTTTATCAAATTTTACGGTCATGTAAATCCGTCTTGGGTCTGTAACATAATTGTCTGGTCTTGCCTCCTTGCTTTCCTTATTCAGTTCACAGATACTTTCATCGATAACAAAGTTGATGCTCTGACACTTTTCTTCTTTATCACATCTCTTAACGCAAACATCAGGGCTATTGACTTTGAATGTGTCATATGTGTGTCCTTGAAGGGCTTTTTGGAAGGCTGATACTTGCGACTTGCACTTACCGATGGCGTTAGCATGTGCCATCCTGGATACCAAATGGAAGAAAACAACTGTACATAGCACTCCAACAACGGTTTGGGTTCTCATGTTGTGGCTATCAACTTATTTGCGGCTTCTGTAGGAAAATGAAAGAGAGAATATTCTTACAACCAGTGTATCATCCCCTTGATATCGTAGCCAGATTCTACGATGGAAGGACTGGGTAGGAGAATATTATCCCCTATGACAGAGTTTGCCAAGGAAAGTATATTGATGTTCTTGATGGCAAAAACACAGACGGCGGAGCAGGGTGTGAGAGGGGCTCTAATCTCCTTAAAAGCAAATTTGTGGGTGCGCAAGCAGCCCTCTCCACCTCCCACTCTCACTTAGATAAATTATGCTCGAATATGAGAGTAGGCTTTTGAGCGTCCACCTTAAAAGCAAGGTTTATGCCGAAAATAATGCTCAATGCGTTTCATTATGCTCGATTTGACAATTCGAAATAATAGTCGATAAGAGCCCTGCACCACCCCCCCCCACCACCCCACCTATTTTCTATCACCAACAGGTAAAACTTCCCGAGAATAAAAGGCTTACCGAAGTTAAGAACACAATGTTTTATTGAATCAAATTCTTATAGTGCAAGTAAAAAAAGCACGTTGGCTCACTATCAGCAATACTCAGGCTACAGAATTTATCTCCTGTTGAATTGTAACATTGAGGGAATTTTTGTAAAGTTTAGTCATCATGTCTGTATTATGCCCAACGCTCTGATTATAGCATTATACCCAAAATTACGCCGGCGTCATTTATCTGAGACTACTCCCAGTGTGTTTTTATATGGAAATTACCGCAGGTGCAGTGTATAATTGGTTTCGTAAAATATTTAGTGTTTTTTAGCCCACAGAGCCCGGAATGATTCATAAAGATCGCACGCGATAAAAAAATATTTATTGGAGGAGTTTTTATCAACTTTCTGCCTATTCATGGTCAATAATCGATTTAGCACAAGCTGGTAATACTGCAAAGAGGTTTTCCTGTGACAACGAACCACACATGAACGAAAAAAGAAAAGATCACACAGAGAAAACAAAATTTCAGACTTAATAAACAATACGAACTTGAAACTTGGAAAACTTAGCACAAAAAATAGAATGTATCAAAACACAGGGTAAACACCATGGTAATTCTTTGCATTTTAAAATGTGTCGCAACCTTTAAAAAATAGAGTCGAGCAGATCTTGGCAGTGAGCCCGCGAAAATAATAGTATCTAAAAATCGAAAACGTCCTTTGATTTTTTTTTTCGCGATTCAGTGAAAGGAAGCACCCCGCAACAAAGGAAAAAATTAGACTTGGAAAACAATTCGAACCTGAGCTAAAACATGGAATATTACATCACGAAATTTACTCAAAGAACTTTGTGATCATCTTAAAAAAAAAAAGAAAAAATCAGTAGAAGGAAACGATCTTTTAATGAATTGTAACCAAATAACTGGAAAAAGTAGACGATGAACAAACTCACAAAGTATGAGATAATTGTGCTCGTGAGTTTTGACATTTGAAATGTTAAAAATCACCTTTTAAGGAGAATAACAAAGCATTTCATAAACTTACCTTTGTTAGGATTTTTGTGTTGATATATTCACGTTCAGGCTGACTTGGCCATCATAGCAACTCGTACGAGAAATTCTCAAGGATGCTGAAGATGAAAATTGCTTGAGGCGTAGTTCGTAGTTAGGTGAGTGCAACTGCTACCTACCTTGAGCGCTCTCAAAACTTCTCAGGAGCTTCACGCCGAGGTTTTCTTGCTGCTTGAAAGGAAGTTCTTATTTAGTACATTCATTATGCAAAATAGAATGTGGAACCAGGTGGTCTAAAAAAATTTTGTAACCCGAATTTCCTAATGAGGAACAACTAGAAACTTCGAATGTTTACCTCACGTAACGCTAGGGACAATAGCAAAAAGAAGACTAAAAAGATACCGCTACCCAGATAGGGGAGGAAATACTTCACCCAGAGGATTGAAAAGCCGTGGGTGCATCTGTGAGATGCTTTTATCAATATCGGGAAGTGGTTTGCCTGAACTCACGAACCACGCAAAAAAAACCATTTTGACAGTTTTTAGAAAGGGAATGTGCTTGATTTAGTGAGAGAAGAAGGCCCCGTTTTCTCCTAACGTTTCAAAATGGCACCCTGCCTTTGAAAATGAAGTTAAGGTTTGTTACTGACTCTAAAGAACACCCCATACACAGCTTGAACATGTCCTTTGTTTTCACAGGGAGCAAATGCCAATGCCAGCATGAAAAATAGAAATAATTAGCACCAGTACAATTCAACTACACCAATTTACTGGCGAATTTATGACAACAAACTTCAAACGCTTACTATGCTCATCTCACTGGGGGCAACACTAAAAATCAACTGTCCCTCTTAATTAATTTACACCTGTGTTGAAGTTTGGATAACTGGGCGTTGCATGGCAATCGCTAAACACAACTAGACTTTGTTTTTATCGTAACTCGCCCTACGGGCTCTTCAAAATACGGCACAACTCAGGTAAAAATACTCAGCGATACTACACAACAAAACGTCTAATAAGATATATTCACTGGCTGTTAAAAGTGTTTTCCTTTGTTGTCATCAGTCGAATAAGTGGGCGGTGCATGATGGGTAATAGCTATTGATATAACAATGTTATGGGAAAATCCAACGAAAGAGTTTTTTGGGGAACGAGAAGCTTCGGTAAATATAATAGAGGTTCGAACACTCAGCTCGAACGCTTAGCTCGTGCAACGTGAAGGGCATTAGACATTAAGACTGAAAAGATAACGATATTTACCAAAAGGCGGAATAAAACTTCATATAGAGGACTGAAAAGCAGGTGTATTTGTGAGAAGCTTTTGTGGGGGTCTGGGAGAATTTATCCTTATCATCCTGATCCACCTCACCATTAATCACCATTCCATAACTTCATTGGGGATCATTTTAAGTCTGGGGATTATTCAGGGGTCGATTTGGGGATCATTTTAATGTTTAGACAGAACCTTCATAAACTTAAGAGGTAAAGAGAGTGTTAAGAAAGTTTAATAAACTTGCAGGGTTCAGATTCAGCTTCAATTAATATGGAAAATCTACTCCATATTCAAAAAACAAAGCGATAGTTGAATTCAATCAATATTTTAAATTGAATTTCGAAAGTAATATTGGATTGCTCCGTTTTTCGCTATGTGATTGGTTCAGAAAACTCGCGCCACTTTCTCAACCAATCAATCAGATGCAAAACTGAAACCAAGCTCAACTTGGTCGCCTGTGTTTTCCCGCACGTATTAGGGAGTTTGGTTGTTTTCACTATGAGTCGTTATTATCCAGCTGCACAAAGTGGAGTAAAAATAACGCGGCATTAGAGTACAGATGTCCTGCGATCTTGCACAGTTGGTTATTTTGTAATGTAAGAAACTTGTTTAATCGGTTAGCTGCGCATGCTACGCTTCTCTCTCTGCCTCGCTTTTCACGCCTAAATAAAGTAAACAAATAGGTAAAATAAAGCAATTGGATTATAAACAACTTATCAATCTTTTTTATATGAAGTATCGCTGAGTACTTTCACTCTTTGTTTTTATCATAACTCGCCCTACGGGCTCTTCAAAATACGGCACAACTCAGGTAAAAATACTCAGTGATACTACACAACAAAACATCTAATAAGATATATTTATTGGCTCTTAGAGGTATTTTCCTTTGTTCCGATCAGTTGTTATGATAATTTAAGCTTTGGTTTTCCGGCACTCATGCAATCGAACGTCGCTCTATCAAGAACATTTGTCTTCTCGGATTGGGTCAAGAGAGGTGTCCGTAACATCACCCAATTATATTTCGACTAAGTAGTCTAGAATCGGCCCCGAAGGTTAAGGGGGAGCTCAGGTGAACTAAGACGGCGACGGAGATGACAAAGTGGAAAAACAAAAGATCTTATGGGTAGAACAATATCTTGGCACGTGCGTTTTAAAACTTTGTATTGATTTTTTTCATCTGTCCTCTGCAAAGCAGCAAAGTGAAATCACCAAAATTTACGTGCTCCGAGAGCGGAAATCCCGACATAAATTTTTTTTAAGTTTCCATCTGGAACTCAACACTGATCACGTAGGTTATGCTAAATTTGAGTTGTGACGCGCTATGTGAGGATAAGCACATTTTTAAATCGACGTCCTCCTCGGAATTGCCTTCCTGACTGCGTAGGGTCCCTAACGATGTAAGCACGACAGGCTTTGTATTTTCTAGCGACTCAACTGAACAAATATCTTCTTAGCGGTTTCTCATCAGTTTCTCCCCTTCTGCAAAATCTGCGTAAAAGGAACCATACAAGTAGCTATATCAAGGCTGTGCCACTTCTAAATTCATTTCTTTGATTTTTTATTCATATTATTACTATCTCTCACGGACACGCATCGGAGCCATTTTTTTTCCGAAGAGCTTCCTGAAGAAGACTTTCCTGAAAAAGACTTCCTGGAGAAGACTTTCCTGAAAAAGCAAGGGTGGATCCCTAAATTTGCACTAGCTTCTTAGGGGCATTTGGGAGAAAGTGTTAACCTTTCAGGTTTTTCATTGCCAGAGAAGGGGTCACACACACACACCTATAGTGCCTCATGAACTGTGCCCTATTTTCTTGAAATCGTATAAAAATTCTTCATTTTGAATCAGATGCTAACAGCAAAACGCTGTTAATATGTGGGTGTGTTCTTCGTTTTACAAGAAAAATTATATGAAATTTTGAAGGGGATGATTTAGAAACAAGTCACTCTTCAACTGAGTCGCTGATAGCTCATGTGTGAAGATCACCAAGTCACTGAAGTATGCAAGAGCCGTGGTGCCACTGTCTCTTTTCAAGCCAATATCATAGAGAGCATGACCAGAGTTTTTGAAATCAAGGACAGGATTATCGCTGACAACGTGATTCACTTTCCTTTCACCATTTATGTAAATCCTAAACGTGCGCTCTGATCTTCCCCAAGTGATTGCCACGTGTCTCCAAACATCTGTTTCCACGACATCTCTGTAAAAGAAACGTTCAACACAAGAAAGCTAAATAAAATTCGCATATGTGAGTGAA